TGGACCAGGACTTTGAATCTGATTTTGAAAGCTGACAACTAATTTGTCAGAAAACAGAGAGAAAAAAATGCAGGGTTCTCACTCCCCAGTGTGACTCTGAAAGGGGCAGGAAATCAGACCAGGCAGGTGCATCTACTCTCCGGTGTGGGTATCCCGTAGTCACTCGGTTCCTCTTTGCCACACGCGTGGGCTGTCAGATCTCATCCAAAAGGTAAAAGAAAGCACGGATGTCACGTTGTTTTTCTCGTCTGTGTTTTCTTAAGGTAGGTGCTGATGATTTTTCTGGACTGGGCAGGCTGACCAAGGATACATTTGGAAATAAGACACCTCAGGATGGATACTGAGGAGATGCGCTTGGTTTGAGGTTCCTGCACAATTCTGCAGTTTTACACGGTGCTGAGCGCAGCTCACCTGGGAGATGCAGGCTATATTTTCTGACATTGTTTTTTGAGAAGATTTATAAGCCAGGAAAAGCGGTATCATCATGTTTGCTTCCAAAATGGCATTCTAGTCATCTTATTTTATTCTCTACCCTTCATTGTTTCTAAGGATGCTTTTAAATAACCTAAAATTTCTCCAAGTCTGAGTTTGTAAGCACCTCCCCTCATTATGGTCCCCTTATCCTGTATGGTACAGTTTATAAATTCCAGGTTATTGTAGTTTATTAAAACTCCATCAAAGGTCAGCTGGGAACAGAGGGAGGCTGTCCTTGGTCAATTGCTCTGCCAGAGGCAGGGGCATGGCTTCTTCTCCTGATGACCTGGAGGTATCTCACAAATCGCCCCAGAGAACGAACTGCTGTCTCACCAACTCAGGAACGCATCCACCCTCCCCGTGGTGCGGACAGCCATGAGGGTGCTGACTGCCTCGGGACTCACTCACCGCTGTTACCTCCCAGAGGATTTCCAGGTCACCCCCAAAGGTGACCCCTCATCACCTCACCTTCTTCACCTTGGTCACTTTCTCTTCTAATGTGACATCATGTGTTTATTTATTTCTCATTGTTCCCCCACCCCTTCCACCCAGAACGTAACCTCCAAGTCGGCAGGGACTGGGTCTGTTTCTTTGTAGCTTTATCCTGAGCACGTGGCACATAATAGGTGCTCAATAAAAATGTCTTGAATGAGTAGGCCTTGTTTAGCCTGGGGACTCGTCCCAAGCACATCGAATCAGGGACTTCCTCATATCCACACAGTAAACTTCAGGGGAACACGCTTGGGAATCCCCTGGGAAGAGGGTCCTCAAAGTCCCGAGAGCTGTGGCCTCTTGAGATTTACCTTAGAATGAGTGGCTCAGGTCTGAATGCACTGACAACACTCACAAAAAATCAAATAAAATGGACTCACTTGTCCACTGTGCATGAGGGGAGTCACGGTCCCATGCATGGAGGCACCAGGCCCTGGGCCAGGCTGCCCTCCGGATGCTTCCACTGGCCTGAGCTGAGCAGGCCTCTGCTCGTCTTCCTGAAGGTGGCTTTCTGTGATGATTCCTCACACACTGTTTGCTCAGGCAAGAGCCGGAGGTCCGGGCTTGGCGCCGTGCTCAGGTCTCAGGCCAATTCTCTGCCAAGGTACCATGGTCCTGTCTCAGCCACCTGCACCCACCTCAGACTGAGCGGCTGCACTTTGCTGGTGAGGAGCGGGAGGCTCGGGTGGGAAGTCCTGCTTCCCGTGGGCTGGCAGACAGGACAGGGCCGTCTTCTCTGACTCCGCCCGTGAGCACTCGGCACAAATGTCTGGGAGCTACACAGGCCTTGTCAGGGCCTTCACGTCAACAAACTCGCCCACTGACCCTTAGAAGAGCTCTCAGTGCTGCAGTCCTACTGAGCCGTCCACTTCTGGTGAGACAGTGGTGTCCCCTTCTCCACTGGCACACTTGCCGATTTATTTTGGCTCTGCCATCTCCTGCTTGTCCATATGAACAGGGTCATCTCAGGACATTTGGCATTGAACAGAGGAAACCCACCCCAACTTGGCAGAGACAGGCGTTACTGAGGCCCACGGGGCAGAGACCCACGGGGCAGGCGAGTAGCCAGGGTAAAGGAGCCGCCCAGAGCCAGCTGATGCAAACTGGCAATCTTTGTCTCCTCCCCTGTGGGGCTGCTTCTTCTGTGACCCTATTCTTTGGTCATCTCTCTGCTCTCTGTGCCTGTGACCACCCTGCAACTCTTTAGTGTATTGTATCCAGTTCAAGTAGCCAGTCCAGAGTGATCATCCAAAGGTGACTGTCACCAAGGATATAAGATCTGCTTTGGAAAATAGTGCCCAAGCAAGGACTCTTCTTTAGAGAGCGGAGCTTAGGCTTGATGTTGGTCCCCAGAGCCCAGCCAGCGCCTGGCATTCAGAAGGAGACTGTAAAGCCCCGTGGGATGGATGGCCCCGCTGGTCCAGCCACACACACCAGGCAGCGCCCTACACAGCCGAATAGTCACACTCCAGGGCCATCTTTGGCCCTAGTTAACTGCTATTTCTCTTTTGCCAGAACTGGAACTAGTCAGAAAAATGTGAAAGTAAAAATCGAGTCTAGGTGGGCCCGGAATCACTGACAATGGAAAGGTCGTCCCCATCCTCAAGGACTTCAGCTAAGTTTAGGATCAAAGCTAAAAAAAAGGCGGGGGATCGGGGCTGTGGCTCAGTGGGAGAGCACTTGCCTGGCATGTGTGAGGCCCTGGGTTTGATCCTCAGCACCACATGTAAATAAATAAATAAAATAAAGGTATTGTGTCCATCTACAACTACAATTTTTTTTAAAAGGGGAAATTACTGGGAGGATTCATTTGTCTTTTATGAAACCCAAGGGCAGCACAGCTGGACTCCCCAAGGGTCAAGGACCAAGCACCAAGAGTCACCAGGAGGCAGATTCCTCTGTGTCACTTGTCCATGGCCCATCGTGATGGTCTTTGAATGGCCCTCAAGTTTCTGAGACCACATCATCCACCCACTAGCCTTGGCATCTGGGGACCAAATTCCTTGGAGAAACTAGCCTCTCCCAGCTCAGCTTCTGATTGGCTCTCCCTGGGTCATGTGGACACAAAACTCAGTCCAATCAGCAGTGACCTGAGTGCCTGGAGGTCACATGATGCCAACATGGGGCTGAGATCCTTCCTTCTGTGGAAGTGCTGGGTGGACTTTGGGAGCCCTGAATTCTGATTGCTGCTCTCTCTGCCCTTTCCTAGCCCCGGGCTGTAAGGCCCAAGAATGCGTGTGACTTCATGTCTCTCCTCCCTGTCTCCTGCCTTCTATTTAAGAACAAAAACCCAATAGAAAAGGACGAGGGTCTATCATCTGGGTTTATCCTTTTTAATCATTTTTACTCTTTTCTTCTCATTTCCTTTTTAATTATAAAAAAAAAAGGTGGCCCACATCAAAATCAGCAAGTGATTCTGAAATCAAGGGGTCAGGAGACCTGGCTGCCCCATCCCTTGCTGCCTCCAGCTTCTGGGGCTTCCGGTGTCCCCTGCCTTGGAGAGGTCACACCACCTCCTGGGCACACAGACTCCCTGCCTCTCATGGGGACACTGCGGTGGGTACAGACACCCAGATAATCCAGCATCATCTCTTATCACCCCTTAATTTAATCACAGCTACAAAACCCTTATCATATGAGGCGATGATCGCAGGTTCCAGGGTTAGGGTCTCTTCCACTGGGGGCCTCCATTCAGTCCGCACAAGCCCCACACCCCTGCTCCCTCAAGGAGCGTCTAGGTGGGCCGCCACCCACAAGCTGTCTACCGGGGGCCAGGTGGAGAGTTCCAGAATGTCGCCTCTCAGGTAGCAGAGAAAGGCTCTCCCCTTCCATTTGCCGCCTTTTTTTCCAAGCCAGGAAGAAGCATGAACAGCCAAGCGAGCCCTGCCCAGGGACCAGCAGCACAGGGTGCCCGGGGCAGGGCAGCTTCGGGCACCTCCCCTGCGGGTAAGGTGTCTGCATAAGGCAACGGAAAGCCTGGGACTTCCTGCCCCGCCCTGTTCCCAGGTGAGAGGGGACTCACCTGCTGACTGCCCCGAGCTTGTTAGGAAGCGCCCAGAGCCTGAGGGTCTTCTTCAACCAGCCCAGACCCCTCCACAGACCCTTCAGCAGCCCACTCCCCCTGCACCAGGGCCAGGAAGGTGTTCTCTGGACTTGGTCCCGCTCCAAGACCAAGACCCTGACCCCTGAGGTCTCTGGTCCCCTCCTTTGTCCCATCCTTGACAGTCTCGATCCCAGGGCCAGCCTGCCTCCCTCCCTCCCTCCCTCCCTCCCTTCTTTCCTTTCTTTTATTTGTCTATTTATTTTAGTTTATTTTTGAACCAAGCAATGAACCCAGGGGTGCTTAACAACTGAGCCCCATTCCCAGCCCTTTTTATTTTTCTATTTTGAGACAGGGTCTCACTGAGTTGCTTAGGGCATAGCTAAATTGCCGAGGCTGGCTTTGAACCTGTGATCCTCCTGCCCCAGCCTCCTAGCCGCTGGGATTACAGGCCTGCGCTGCCACTCTCGGCTCCCCCGGGCATTTCTTGTGGCTGAGCTTCTTTCCTGCCCTGCACAGGTGGTCACTGCCCCCTTCCAGGAGGACATGATCACCCACCAGTCAATTCTGGGGACAGATGGTAGGCTGTGCTGAGCCCCCTCCTGGGCCAGTTTCCCGGAGGGGGAGGTAGGAGGGACGCTTAGACAGGTGGAAGGCCGTGGTCTAAACCACCAGTACTTCCTTTTGGGCACGTGAGTTGGTGGGGATGCCTCTGAGATCTGGGGAAGTGCAAGTCCCTATTCAGATCTGCAGATTAACGTCCGGAGCCACACAGTGGAGTGTTGCGAGAACGCAGGCCCTGGGGCCCGGTGGCGTGGGCTCGAATCCACTTACCAGCTGTGTGACACGGGCTGCTTTACCTAACTTAGGGCCTGGAGAACTAACTTGCAGAATGGCGGTGGCACCAGGCCTGGGTACAGGTGACATGGGAGAGCATATGCCCGGAGCTTAGCCAGCATTGGAAGAGCTGCTAAGATAACTCAGGAGTCCAATGTCCTACATACAAAATAGTTTATTACAAAAAGCTCAGCGTGCCACACGTCAGAGGAATGGAACCCTCTTTAGCCACCACACAGGAGAGGCTGGCAGACGGCGCCAACTAAGACCACGGTCTTCCGCAGCAGGTGCTGAAGCCCCTCAGGCCCTCAGCCATCAAAAAACCAACAGCACGGGGGCCTGAGAGAGCCACCCCCGGGGCGGCCCGCGAGCCACCATCGCCCCGTCATAAAACAGCCCGGGTCCTTCTGGGGAAGCTGGCCAGGTGCACCCCGGCTCAGGACTCCAGTGCAGAGAGCAGGTGCCAAAGTTGCTGTTCTTATGAAACAAAACAGTCAAAGCAGAAGCAAAGCGACCGTGTGGAACCGTCGCCAGGCATCTTTCTCTGACTCAAAAAAAAAGGAGCATGTCGCCCACGACCCAGAGTTGGGGAAGGGCAGGGCAGACACCCCGCCGCCCCTCTTGGCGGGGTCCAGAGGGCCACCAGCGCCAGGGCAGCATCTCTTCCAGATGCACCTGCCACGCGAGCTCTGAGGAGCGTCAGCCCCCACTCCCGGGACTCGGACCCCCATCCAAATGGCCAAGTGCACAGTGGCCCCTCGGCTTCTCCCCCCCCGGGGCGAAGCGGCTGCGTCTCAATCTGTGGCTCAGGGTGAGCCAGGAGGGACGCGGCCCCGAGGGCCGTTCAGTCGGGTGGCCGGGCGTCGGCGGCCTTCTCCTGGACCTCGTCGTACTGTGGCGGGGGAGTCAAGGGCTCGATGGAGGGGGGAGGGACATTTTTGTCCGGGAGGTTGATCCTAAAGTCTTTGAGGTGCAGCTTTTCGGATTTGATCCTCCGAACCTTCAGGGGCTTCAGGCGCTTGGCCAGTCTGGAGTTCTGCCTGGCGGGCGGGTGCCCGGCGCTGGCCTCCACCTCGGCCCTGGTGGGGGTCGTGTCGTCCAGCCCCGTCAGGGACTCGTAGGAGGGGAGGGAGACGCTCATCCTCGGGCTCTGCTGCAGCTCGGGGCCCTCTGTGTAGTGCGTCTGCATCACCTCCTCGTAGCTGGGGACGTAGTACCTGGAGGAGGCCGCCTCGTCCTCCTCCTCCTCCTCCTCCTCCTCCTGGCTGCAAGACACGAACACACACGGTTGTGAGCACACTTGAGGCCCCAGAGGGGGCTGCAGACCCTGACAGCCTCGTGAACCACTGTGTACCAGGAGCCTTAACGCACCACACGGACTTCATATTCCTGACTGGGGTGGAGCGCGGTTGGGATGCCCATTTTACAGATGGAGAAATGATACATCAAGGAAAGGGAGGGCAGGAGGCGAAGGCCACGCTGAACTACTACGCAGCGTTACCTGGGTGTGGACCCCCTTGGCCTGGAAGCCTTTCACACTGCACAATGCTTTGCGGGGCTATTTATTCCAATGCCCAGCGGGGGCCTCTGGGAAAGGCAACACAAGACTGGACGCCGCAGCCTCCAATCTGTGGTCGTCCCCAGGTAGAGAAGGAACAGCTGACCGTGAACACATGCATCTCAAATTATTCATCTCCAGTACTCAGAAGACCAGACGCTCCCCCTTACGTCATTTGACGGTTGAAAGAGAAAACCCAAATGCTCAGGACGGGTTCGCACAGCTGACCGAGTCCTGCCAAAGCGGTCTTCCAGGACCTCCCCTTGAACTTGCAGGGGATGGCGGGCAACAGACACCTCCCCGTTGGCGCCTTCTCTGGAAGGAGCTTGGGTGTGCTCACGGCTGGCGTGGGTGTGTGCGGGTGACTGGTTTTCCTCTTTTGATCTTTTCTCTATCTCCCAAGTTTTCTAGCATCAGTAGGAGGGACAGTGAGTGGCGTGTGACTGACCATGGGGGCCCAGTCTGTGAGGATCTTCCCAGAAGACATTCCCATTTCAATCAGTGGACTCTGCCCTCCCCGGTGTGGGTGGGCCTCTGCTGGGGGCCTGGGTAGAACGAGGGTTGCAGCTAGCAGGAGCCTCCCTTCTCCTGCCTCCAGTTCGGGAGGGGGGGCATCTCATGTCCTCTCCTCCTGCCCCAGGAGTGGGCTTCCAGCCAGCAGCTCCCTGGTCCTCAGGCCCTTGGACTTAGGAGGAATGAGACCACGGGCTGTCCTGGGCCTGGGCCGCTGGCTTTCTTGGGACTTCTCAGTCTCCACGGTCCCAATTGCCAGTTCCTCATAGTACATTTGCACACACACACACACACACACACAGCCATGAGCCACACAACAATGTTTTGGTCAATGGCAGCGCCTGAGATGGAGGTCCCATAAGAGGACGTCACCCAGTGACCCACAGCTGTCCTGGTTGGTGGCAGTACACTCTGGGAGGTGCTCACACCACAAACTGCCTATCTGTGGCTTTCAGGACGTGTCTGAATGCTGGGCACCGGCCCCACCCCAGTTTGGGGAACCTTGGCTAGGACAGCAGGGTTGTTTGGTTATTTATCTTGATACAGGGAATTGAACCCTGGGGCACTTTACCACTGAACCACATCCCAGCCCTTTTTATTTTTTGAGTAGGGTCTCACTAAGTTGCTGAGGCTGGACTCAATCTTGCAATCCTCCTGTCTCAGCCTCTAAACTGACTGGGATCACAGGTACGTGCCACCACACTCAGTTATGTGTTATCTTTTATTATCAGAAAATAAGTCGGCTTTCTCCAATATAAAAACAACTTCCCTCCTGCTATAAAGTAAGAGATGCTTATAGAAAATTCAAACAAGATAGAAAAATCTAATGAAGAAAATAAAACATCCCCAGTCCTTCCATGTAGAAAACCACGGTGAATACCCCTGTATGTGCCTCTCCTGACCCTCTCTGAGCCCACCCCACACCCTGTGATGTGACAGTCTCCCAAGATGCTGAGCTGCGGGCTGCGGTGTGGCTCGTGGTAGAGCACTTGCACGTGGGGGGCACTGGGTTCGATCCTCAGCACCATAGAAAATAAAGAACATAAAGGCGTCATGTCCATCGACAGCTAAAAACATGTTTTTAAAAAGATGCTGAGTGTCATCTCCTTTCTGAGGCAGATCTGGTCCCCCGTTAGCAGGTGCAGATCCGCAATGGCTGGCAGGACCGCGCTGAGGGACCACCGAGGCGCTGCCCCTGGCGGGTGGACAACACGGCGGCCAGGGCCGCTGCTCTAGACAGGGACCTGGCAAACTTGCTGGGACGTCCCCTCCTGCGACTGTCTCCTTAGGAGCAAGTCGGGCAAGGATGTAACAGCCTCATGAGTACTGCCACTCGGCATGGGGATCTCAGGAACCCGTCTGTCCACAAACCCTCGGCACCCCACCTGCCTGCGCCCCACCTGCCTGGGCCCCACCTGCCTGTGCCCCACCTTCCTGCCCCCCACCTGCCTGTGCCCCACCTTCCTGCCCCCCTCCTGCCTGTGCCCCACCTTCCTGCCCCCCTCCTGCCTGTGCCCCACCTGCCTGCCCCGCACCTGCCTGTACCCCACCTGCCTGCCCCGAAACTGCCTGCGCTCCACCTGCCTGCACCTCACTAGCCTGCATCCCACCTTCTGGCACCCCACCTGCCAGCACACAACCTGCCCGTGCCCCACCATCTGGCACACCATCATCCAGCACCCCACCTGCCAGTGCCCCACCATCCGGCCCCTCACCATCTGGCACCCCACCATCTGGCATCCCATCTGCCTGCACCCCACCTTCCTGTGCTCCACCATCTGGCACCCCACCTGCTGGTGCCCCACATTCCGGCACCACACCATCTGGCACCCCATAATCCGGCCCCCCACCTGCCTGCCCCCCACCTGATGGCACCCCACCGGTCGGTACCCCACCTGCCTGTGCCCCACCTCCCTCCAACCCACCGTCCTGACCCCCAACTGCCTGCAACCCATCTTCCTGCATTCGACCATCCTGCCCCCCACCGTCCTGTGCCCCACCTGCCTGCCCCCCACCTTCCTGTGCTTGACCATCCTGCCCCCCACCTGCCTGCCCCCCACCTTCATGCGCTCGACCATCCTGCCTC